TATTTCCATATATGTGATATGCTACTACTAATAATGATTGTTTGGCGTTTTGAGGGGGTTCTGATAAATAATGCTATTTCAATTGAGAAATAAGGCAGAGTCTGCAGATAGAGGCCAAAATGTCTCCATCAATAATAGAAACGCAGAGACCAGCAGTTAGTGTAATGGCTATGTTGCTGGACTCCCATGTTGCCGACCGCAGTTCAAGTCCTGGACCCAGTGGCTTAAACTCACACTGGCCGCATGTGCACACATGTCCAAGATCCTGAGAGGAGAATGAAGGAGAAGGGATTGCAGCATGGCCATCCCCCCAGGAGGGTGATTTCTCCCTTTCTGTCTCTCTGTCTCTCTTTGTCTTTCTGGCGAGTGCACGTGCCCTATAGCAAAAACCTCTCCAAAAATAAAATTAAATTAAATAATAGAAAGGCAGACATGAACTTCCTAAAACAGAAACACAGAGTTAGACAGACTTGTTCCCCAGTCACTGACAGTGCTGAACAGCAGAGCCTTCCCTAACAGGGGCAGTGTCTGCCCAAGAGAAGGTCCTGCACTCCCAACAGGAAGGTAAGAGAACAGGAATGGAACATACTGCTCAGTTTCCCCTAAAACCGCCAGTGAGGTAGGCCACAACCCTCCCTTCAAAGATGTGAATGTGGAGAAGAGAAAGGTCAGGAGTGTTATTACAATTCCCTTCACATGAAAGGAAACATCAGCAGGGGCCAGCAGGTGTGTGGTGGTTAAGATGCTGGATTCTCTCATGGCCAACTGTAGTTCATGTCCCAGACCTGGCGGCTTGCTCTCTCTCTCTCTCATTAAAATAAAAAAAAAAATTAAATAAATCATTCTTAAAAAAAAAAAAAAAAAGAAAGGAAACAGCGATATGGAGGAAGCTATTCCCAGTGTACCCCACCCATATCAGTATCCAGCATTTTATTCTCTTAATCCATTAAGTCTATGGTTAACCAGGGATACAGTCATCAAAACAGTCTTGCTTCTCTCTCATGTAGCTGCTCCTCCAATTCAAATCACTGCTCTTATGAAAAGTTCTTGGAAATGCTGTGCAATTTCAGTTTCGCTTACAGATGGGTTTTAAATGGGTCAGAACAGTAGGTTAATTAGATCAGCTATGGTGCCACTCTAGACCCACAGCTGAGAATCATTTTCTCTTCTTTGCTTCTTGCCAAACTGTGTCCAATCCAACTTAGAGGTTCTCCCCTAGTATAATTACTGACAAATGGTATATGGGATATGTAAGGCTTCACACCTGTGCTGCTAAGTGTTGTACTCATGTAATTTAATAGTCCATCAAGATACAATAAAATGTAAAATGAGGGCCGAACGTCATGATACATATTAACTACTCTAATGTATTGTAATGAGATTACAGACTCTCTTTAAACAGAAAACCTAGCGTGTCGTGAATAGTTTTTCATTTTATCATTACAAAAATGGTAGGAGAAAATACCACAATAACTCATGTCTGTTAACAAGTAAATCTTGAAAGCATATATATGTTTCATAAAATAGAGAAATCAATTTAAATATTACCATAGCTATTAACTGAAACAACCAGTAAACCTTATATTTTAGAGGTTCACAGTTAGTTTTACAAGACATAGCAACAGTTTCTGAAGTTTATTCTTGAAAGATTCTTTGTTACAAATGGTATTTACAAGAAAGAACCTATGCTACAGAATAGCATTTACTTATCTGCGACGGACAGAATGAATGATTTCTCCTCATTTTCTTGCTAGTATTTCTTTAACTAACTGAAGGTTTAAAGGATTAAGTTGAGATACTAGAATTCAATTAGCAGTGAGACAAAATTTTAAAAGTCTGAGAGGACCAAAAACCATACAATATGAAAGAAAAGTGACAGAAAACTATTAAATGGTATACAGCTATGCAAGAATTCACAGTTACAGTATAAATTACTACACACAAGTAACTTACTATATTATTTAAATAAGCATTCATCTCTGATGATAGAGGTCAAAGGACTAACAAGGTCATCAGACACTCCTTCTCTTCCAGACTGGCCCACCAGGTCCGACTATCCTCCCTGGACCAGCTCCTCTTCAAACACCATGAGAACTTCTCTGTTACTTGCCACAGTGATTCAGTGACAAATGCCATTAGTAGCAGAGCAGCAGAATGAGGTAAGATGTCATAGCCATTACATTATCCCAAATATTTAACTGATTAACTCCTAGTAGTAGGTAATAAGGTACTAGATGCCAGATACCACAGAATATTCTACATGGCACAATGGACCATAGGTAAGCATTTTTCCTCCAGTAGGTTTTAGTGGTTCCTCAGGTCAAATGTCAATTTCTTGGTCAATTTCCAGGCATCTCTGGAGTAGAGTTCACTGACCACCTTGCCCAGACTCCAACTTCAGTCCCAACATGTCCTTTGAGCACTGGCTCCTAAGCCACATGTTAAACAGTGCTCTCTGGGACCAGGAGATAGCATAATGGTTATGTCATTGGACTCTCATGTAGCTGTTCACGGTTCAAGTCCTAGGAGTCCACCTGGTGGCTTAGAACTCACACTAGGTGCATTTGTTTGTGTGCCCAAAATCCTGAGAGGAGAATGGAGGAGAAGGGATTGCAGCATGGCCATACCCTCTGGAGGGTGATTTCTTGCTTTCTTTCTCCCTCTCTTCTGTCTTCAGGTGAGTATATATACCCTACAGCAAAAATATCTGTGAAAAAAAAAACTAAATTAAATAAATAAAAACAAAAATGATGCTTTTTTCCATTCTCTTCCCTGCTGGGCTCCTAAGAGAAGTCCCAGACTCTATTGATGCTGATGAGAAAAGCCTACTGCCTGGACACTGCCTTGACCTATCAGGAAGTCACATCTAGAGGGGTTCTAGAGCTGCGAATAATGACAGGGATAGAATAGGTAGCTTTTAAAATGAAATAGAGAATACGAGAGATCAAAAGACATGGTAAAGAGAAGTGAGTTTGACTTAGATGAATGCCAGGCAACTATCACCGTAATGAGAAAGGCATAGGGAGTAGAAAAGAGTGAGCACTGGATGCAGGCAGTAAAAAGAAAAAAATGACTATCATAGAGGGAATAGAGAGGATATAGAAAAGGGAGCAGAAAAAGACAAAAGAAAAGGAGTGGTTGGCAGAATGAAAGCTAAGCAGAAGTATTTAGAACCATCTGAAGGAAGTGGGAACTGATCCATACTAACTCTAAAACAAGATGAAAGGTTATGCCAACAATATCCCCATGTATCTTGAGTTCACTATGTCTTTTGGTGTATCTTTTCTTCTTGTGTTTAATTTAATCACATGTTGTTTTGTTCATGACAGCCCCTCAATGTACAAAATCCACTCCTTATATTGTCAGCAAGAGGCCACATCAAGTGACAGAACTAGAAGTGAAATTTAAAGTTATTTAGTAGTGAGAAAAACAGACAGTGAGATAGTTACATTGCTGGACTCCTATGCACTTGACTACAGTTCAAGTCCCAGACCCAGCCGCTTAAAACTCACTCCAGGCACATGTGCATACATGCCCAAAATTCTGAGAGGGGAATGGAGGACAAGGAGTGGCCATGCTCCCTGGGGAATGATTTTCACTTTCTGTCTCTCTGTCTAACCGGCACGCACATGTGCTTTATAGCAAAAATCTCTATATAGAAAAAAAATTAAAAATTAAAGTAACTAAGGAATCTGAAGGAGGAATATTGGTGATCAATATTGGGTTTCTAGACAGTTAGTCACATTCCATTCTACCACAGCTATGCTCTTGAGGAATAAGAACAGTTACAGAAGTTGATAAAGGACCTGTTTCGCTGAAGGCAATGAGGCCAACAAAAATTTGAGAAGGGCCTATGTTAGATAAGTCCTCAGAGAGGGCTTCTTGTGAGCTGAAGAAACTTCTAACTAGCAGATCTGAAGACCAAACGCAGAAACAAATCCATCTCAGCACCATGACAATCAAGGCCAAAGCAAAAACTTTATTTGTGATATTGAAAGAAATGTTAGACCTGACTATGATGTTGAATTTACTGCTCACTCTGAATGGTTTAAACAGCTTAAGAATCGTTATTCACTACATAATGTGAACATGAATGATGAGTCTGTGAATGCTGATGTGAAGCCAGCTGGAGAATTTTTGGAAACTCCAGATAAGCTGATTGTGGAGGGAAATTACTTGCCAGAGTAAATCTTCCATATGCATGAAGCCTCCCTATTCTGCAAACAGATGCCTAAATGGAGTTTCATCCATAAGGAGGCCAAATCAACGCCAGATTTCACAGCTTTTAAGGACAGGATAGCGGTCTTTCTTGGGGGCAACACTGCAGGTTACAAATTGAATTCCTTTGTGCTCTTGCATAATAAGAACCCAGGGCCTTCAAGCACATCAATAAGCACACACTGCCAGTTTATTACAGGAACCAAAGTCGCCATGGATGGCCCAGTTTCTCTTCCGAGATACCCTCCTGAATTATTGTGCCAGAAAAATGGAAAAGTAGAATACTATTTGGAGACTAGCATGTAACAGACCTTTCAAAATTGTGTTTATTGTTGGTAATGAAACCATGCATCCTCCCTTAACTGGTCTCTTCATTCTGATGTCATAGTGTTGTTTCTCTCTCTAAACCCCACTTCTTTGATCCAACCAATGAATTAAGGAGTTATAGACTCTTTTTTTTTTTTTTTTGGAGAGATTTTCACTGTAGGGCGTGTGCGCTCGCCAGACAGACAGAGAGAGACATAGAGACAGAAAGCGAGAAATCACCCCCCAGGGGGGATGGTTGCGGCGCAATCCTGACTCCTCCATTCTCCTCTTGGGATCTTGGGCACGCACGCACACGCGCCCGGCGTGAGTTTTAAGCCACCGGGTCCGGGACGTGAACCGCGGTCGACTACGTGGGAGTCCAGCGACATAGCCATTACGCTAACTGCTGGTTCCCAGGAGTTATAGACTCTTAAGACCCACTACCTGAGGAGAACCTTTGCAGCCTATTGCTGCAAATGAGGAAAATACTTAGGCAATTCTGGAAAGATTACAACACCTACAACTGCATTAAGAGCCTTGCTTGGGCTTGGGGGGATGTCACCAAGGAATGTATGAATAGGGTTTCAAAGAAAATACCCGAGGACTTCATCCATGACTTCAAAGGTTTTGCCAAGCATGAGGACGTTGCAAAAATCAACAATACTGCAGTTGAGATGGCAAATGATTTTAACTTGGATGTGGCTGAGGATGACATTGAGGAGCTCTGTGAGGTGATCCCTGAAGAACTGACCTGTCCCGACCCGGGGGGACAACCGAACAGGTTTCCTGAGTGAAGGAGTGAGAGCCGGGACAAGCAGCATAGTGTTACAGCACGGAGATGACAGTGTCGTCCGTTTATTGTGGGCAGCACGGTACAGCACAGAGACGACGCAGTGTCGCGTCGTCTACTGTGAGCAGCACGGAGATAACGCGGTGTCACAGCTCTTCAGGGTCATCCGGAGACGATGTAGTGTTACAGCTCTTCAGGGTCTCCCAAGTCGTCTGGAGACGATGCAGTGTCAGCTCTTCAGGATCTTCAGGGTCATCTGGAGACTGCGCGGTGTTTCAGCTCTTCAGGCTCTTCAGTTGTTGTCTTCCTGGTCGTCGTCATCATCGTCTGGCTACTGTGGGCCAGGCATCCGTGGTTATATACACTCTGGTGGGTTGTAAACGGTGGGCCGTGATTGGTTGTAAACAGTGGACCCTGATTGGTTGTTAACGGTGGGTTATGATTGGTTGCTTTTGGACCAATCGTAAGGTGCCGGATATGCAAATTTGAGGGATTCTAGTGGCCAATCAGAGCAAGGTTTCGAAGGTCAGGTTTTTGGAAGGGACCCAATCATGGTAATTGTTTGCTCTCTGAGAAAGCTCAGCAGACTCGCTGGTGTGCAGCTTCCCACATATCCCCCCTCTCTGTTTTAATTTGAGAGATGAGGAAAAGGCCTGGGGGAATCGTGCCTGTCTTAGGTTGGAGTCGTTTATGGAACCATATGTCCATTCTT